TTATCTTTAGGGAAAGATAATGAAATCTAAACATACACATGTCCTCCTAACTAAAAATAATAACCGGAAACTACTTTCAATACACATGGTGTCCAATTTTTTTTACTGTATTCAATAAGTAAAAATCATAAATTGTAAAAGATTATTATTACAGAAAGGCTACTAAATGAATAAGATTTGTTAGATCATAATTAATAAACCCAAATAAAGTTAATATTTTTTGTATTAGAGACAACGAGTGGAAAATATATTCAAATCAGAATTCTAATTATGAATCACCACAAGCAAAATATGCAATTTTTTTACTGTATTTAATAAGTAAAAATCATAAATTGTAAAACTAATAGATTACAGAAAGGCTACCTACATTTTTCAACCGATTTCAACAAAACTTCACTTTTTTTTTGGCATGTAGTGTTTCTTATTGTCTTGCACTTTTTTTTCTTTATTTTACATTCAGAATGCTTTAAAAATTCCATTTACAAGACAATTATTTATAATAAAATTCTATTCAATCGGTAGAGACTCATAACGATTGAAAACAATGTTTTTGTTTGAGTTTGGATTTGACCAATTCGTAAAAAAAACAAAAAAACTAAAACAATAATTTTTGTCAATTTTATTTTTCAGTCTTTATGATAGTGGATACTTGATCTATCTCTTACTGTTATATCCCCGGGCAACGCCGGGCACTACTGCTAGTAAATAAATAAAAAATTAAAATTAAAATTAAAAATAAATAAAAAAATAACCTTACTTTCATGTACAGCATTTACCTTTTTCTGTGTAAATTTTCCCTTCGTAAATATCAGCCTGAACAAAAGAGATAATCAGGCCATAAAACATCAACTTGATGTCGAGGAAGTCAGTAGAAATTCTGTAAATTAAGAATTAACTTGCCTGGCAAACAATTCAATTACGTAACCCCAACCCAAAGCCGACTAACTTCAAAAATATATGCAAAAATAGTAAAAATAAATGCAGCAAAAAAATAAAAATGAAACAAAAAAACCAAACCAGGTGTGGCAATCATGGATTCTGATCTTAATTGATTGCGAGTATTAACAAGTACTTACATTTTTTGTCTTGGTGACTTCAGATGAACTACAGTAAATATATTGTTTAGTAACCCAGTATTGACTGACCTTTAACCTATTGGCCATGTCCCTTAAAGGGTGAGGCACTGTGCATCTCTGGCCATGATCCCAAATCGCGTCATGGCCGAATGTCAAGATACTTGTTTTCTTTTTTAAAGTTTGAACGATGTGGAAGACATGGCCACTTGGAAATCTAATCCAGTTATTTCAGAACACTCAGACTAGTTTACTCGACCACAAGTTATTTCTACCTGGATCTCATCATGAAGGTTAATCGATGATTTTATCAAAACCTTTTACCATATAACATACATTTGGCTGTGATGCATGTGTCCGGTATACCCTTATGAGACCAGGTCTTATAAATGGGCATATTGGACTTCGCTTATTTGTACACCAGCGTCACTTTCTTAACGTGCTGCTCGATCACTCAATAATAATAATAATAATAATAATAATAATAATAATAATAAATATGGTATATGTGAACATCAAGAATCCCTCTTATAGTTGGAGCTCTTGGATTGATTGGAAAGGATTCCAGTAGACTAATTGAAGGAATTCCTCATAGCCCATGCCTTAAAGAAATACAAAAAGATGTCCTTACGAGTATAGACTACATCTTACGAAGGGCTTTATCTATGTAAAATATGTGGGAATTGTTTTCGTCTTTTTTTTTCAATTCCTCAGTGGAAAAACTTATGACGCCATTTCTGAGCTTAGGTTTCTGGTGGGGACCCGGAAAGAAATGCGTACATACCAAAAATCAAAGGGAATGAAATAATAATAATAATAATAATAATAATAATAATAATAATAATATGCACGCGTATGACTACACTGCGTGCCAAATTATTATCGAAATAGCTTTTTTCTAATATTTCAAAAACCGTCCAATCAATTCACACAAAATTTTCACCCAATGTTGGCAATACTGATCTGCGCAATCACTGAAATTTTCGTACTGATCTGCGCAATGTAAACAAACTGGTGCCATATTTGTTATCAGCACGGTGATTTGAGCGTGCCAAATTATTAGAAAAGTGTAAGAATTTAGTGAAAAGATGGGCCATAAAAGCAGTTTAAGTGATGCTGAAAAGAAAACTATCACCTCAGAACTCTCAAAAGGTAAATCTACCCTAGAAATTTCTAAAATGATTGGGAGGTGTCATCAAACAGTGAAAAAGTTCACCGCCGACCCTACACAAGTACGCAAAAGGGCAGATAAAGGCAAGCCGAGTGTTATTTCACGTCGTCTCATGTCACGACTTAAACGAGAGGCCACGAAGAACCCTGGATTTACCAGTCAAGAGCTTTTCAGTCGCATTGGGGATCCTATTGTGTCTAAAAGTACTCGGTGTCGGTATCTGAGGGAAATAGCAACAACAGTCAAACCTGTATCG